AAAAAAACGAAAGAAAACAAAAAGTCCTTACGCGATTTTAAAAAAATCATAATAAAAGGGGAACAAAAAAACCCGGAAAACGCAAAATAACAGAATAAAATATTTCTTAAAAAAAAAAAAAAGTTCTGGCAAAGAGTAGTCCGCTAATGGTGCAAAACCGCGGTGAATTCTTCGCGAGACTCTGCTTATAATAATGGCTCTTCTCCCTTCTGGTACGTGTGTTATAGGGGGGGGGTGGGGGAGGAGGGGAGGGAAGGGGGAGGGGAAGAAAGGGAAGGGGAGAGGAGAGGGAAGGGGAAGGAGGGGAAGGGAAGGGGAGAGGGAAGGGAAGGGGAGGGAAGGGAAGGGGAAGGGAAGGGGAGGGGGAGAAGGGGAGAGGGAAGGGGAGGGGAGGGAAGGGGAGGGAAGGAGAAGGGGTGGGGAAGAAGGGGAGAGGGAAGGGAAGGGAAGGGGAGGGGAAGGAGGGAAGGGAAGGAGAGAGGAGAGGGAAGGAGGGGTTGGAGGGAAGGGGCGCGTAGGTACAGTTAGCTTCACCGGGCGTTCTGTGAGCTCGGAGAAATTAAGATTAACACGGTGAGCATAATCCACAGAGGAATTCCTACTTGATTGTTACTTTGAAAGGGAAATGATGGCGGGCTGTGTGTCTGTGGGAGGGGGGAGGGGGGGAGGGGGGTTGAGAAGGGGGGGAGTGGAAAAAAGTAGATGGTTGGGAATACATAAAGAAGAAGAAAAAGGATACGACGAAAAAAAAAAGGAGGAGAAGAAAAGGAAGAAAGGCTAAAAAAAAAAAGAAGAAAACAAGAAGCAAACGGCGATCATAATAAAAGTTTCTGAAGAAGAAGAAACGAAAGAGAATAAAAAGATCATAAAAAAATACAAAAAAAGAGATAGAGGTAAGATTAACAATAATAATAGAAATAAGAGAAGAGGAAGAGAGAAAGAATTAGAAGAAAAGCGACCAGGAGAGAGCGATAATGACAGTGATAATGACAGTGATTAAACCTCAGGATCGTCTGCTGCGTCCGAGGCGAGTGACTGCTGGACGCCCGCGCCCGGTCCCTCGCCTGCCGATGATTGCAAGTTGCAGGAGACGCGCCAAGACCCCCGTGTGGATTGGTCTGAGGCTCCCTTGCTTCTCTGCCTTTCCTTCCCTTCCCTTCTCTTCCCTTCGCTTCTCTTCACTTCTTATCGTCCCTTCCCCCTTCCCTTCCCCTTCCCTTCCCTTCCCTTCCCTCCCTGTCTTCCCTCCCCTTCCCTTCCTCCCTCCCTCCTCCCTCCGACCCCCTTTCCCCTCCCTCCCTCCCTTGATCCCCCTCCCTCTTTAGAGAGAGAGAGAGAGAAAGAGAAAGAGAAAGAGAAAGAGAAAGAAAGAGAGAAAGAGAGAGAGAGTAAGAGGAAACCGAAATTAGAATGAAAGAAAGAGATGAATATTGACTTACAAACGGGGGATAAGAATAACAATGAAAGTGTGCGGGAAAAAAAATGAAAATAAACAAACAGCCCAGCTCAGAAAAATAGAAATAAAACTAAAGTAAATCAACAAACGAACGCTTCGAGAACCGCCTGACTCCTCGTCCGGTGTCGAGGAATCTGGTCCTATCCGAAACGTTCAGGATTTATTGTTTTTCCTTTATCTCTGTTGCCAGGTCTCGGTTCTTCCACTCTACCGCGTTCGTATTGTTGTTCAGGAGGAGGAAGAAAGGGAATTGAGGAAGGCAGAAGCACTCACAACAAACTCGCAATTGCTCTCTCCGTCGCCCCCCCCATCCCCCATGCCTCATACCCTATATCCTATGCATTATGCCCTCTCCCCTCTCCCCTCTCCCCTCTCGCCTATGCCCCATACCCCCCCTCCTATACCTCCATACCCCCATGCTTCACACCCTCTCCCCTATACCCCATACCATCCCCTCCTCCCCCCTCCCCCATACCCCATGCGTCGCACCCTCTCGCCTATACCCCATACCACCCCCCCCTCCCCCGTAACCCCATACTCCCATGCCCCATACCCCCATGCCTTATACCCCTCTCCTATACCCCTTACCATCCCCCCCTCCCCATACCCCCATGCCCCCACCCTACCCGAACCCTAATCCAATCTATCTAATTTCCTATCTCGCAGGACATTAATTAACCGGGGCATCATTTCTCCCTCCCCCCCCAACTTTTTTATATGTCAAGATATTTACGCTGTGGAGTTTCGTTCATATTGATAATGATGGTGTTAGTGACGATGATTATGATGATAAACTGGCGTCCTATATTTTAAGAGACTGTAACTGATGTACAGTCAATAATATCGAGGGAAATGGAAGAACTGCGTAAAAAAAAGTTATTATATAAATTCTAATGCCGTTGGTAAGGACGACGCCGCTGCGAAATTTCTCTCTCTCTCTCTCTCTGTGGCGATGGAAATGCTATGCAAATGTGGTGGAAATTAGGACGCTGAGTTTTTGCTTCCTCATGCAGTAGGAGGCTATGTTATAATATATAAAAAAGAAAAGCAAGAGGATCGTATTTGGTAATGAAAGTTTGGTAATTAGTTATATTTTCGTATGCGCACACGCAGGCGCGCACGCACGCACGCACACGCACGCACACACACGCACACGCACGCACACGCACGCACGCAAGCAAGCACAAACACACACACACGCACACACGCACAGCACGCATATTATGTGTTGTAGGCTCTGATCTCAAGATAAAACCTTAAAACTGCAACTTAAAGTGATCGATAAGATAATATGAGAAAGCTTACAAATCAAACCCCTTGTGATAACAAGGAAGAATATAGATATTGATAGATAAAAGGCGAGATTTAAAGATTACGAGGGAAGGATGTTGAGAGAAAACGAGTTGTTTGTTTGATGACGTAGAAGCCAATCAACAACGCGTGATTTTTATCTTTCTTCTTCTTTCTTTCTTCTATCTCTCTGCTTCTGCTTCCTTTTCTCTTTCCTCTTCCTTGTCTCTTCTCTCTTCGCTCCTCGTCATTCCCATCTCTTTTCTAATTTCTTTTATTTTTTTCCTTCCTCCCTCCCTCCCTGCCTCTACCTCCTCTCTCCCTCCCTCTCTCCCTTCCCCTCTCTCTCTCTCTCTCCCTCCTCCCCCTCCCCCTCCCCCTCCGTCCTTTCCTCCCTCCCTCCCTCCCTCCCTCCCTCCCTCTCTCCCTCCCTCCCTCCCTCCCTCTCTCCCTCCCTCCTCCCCCTCCATCCCTCCCTTCCTCCCTCCCTCCCTTCCTCCATTCCTCCCTTCCTCCCTCCCTACCTCCCTCTTCCCATCTCCCTCCTCCCTCCTCCTTCCCTCTTTCTTTTGGCGATCAACAATTAACAGCAATTGCATGCAAAGGATTGTGTGTGTGTGTGTCTTTAATTGCCTACTTGTTGCTAAACGTTTTCATACGCAGGTGTTTTTTATCGGGTTGCAAGGTGATTTGCAGGTTTGTCTCTATGTGCTTTTTGTCTTCGTATCTCGTTTTGCCTTTTTCTTTTCGTATTCCTTTTCTTTCTCTCTCTCTCTGTCTCTCTCTGTCTTCGTTTCTGTCTCTGGTTTTGTCTTTTTCTTCTTATTTTTTTTTCTTTGTCTTTGTGTCTGTCTGTCTGTCTCTCTCTCTCTCTCTCTCTCTCTCTCTCTCTCTCTCTCTCTCTCTCTCTCTCTCTCTCTCTCTCTCTCTCTCTCTCTCTCTCTCTCTCTCTCTCTCAGTATAATCACTCTTATTTCCACTTTCCAATTCAGCATTTATTGTGTGTGTGTGTGTGTGTGTGTGTGTGTGTGTGTGTGTGTGTGTGTGTGTGTGTGTGTGTGTGTGTGTGTGTGTGTGTGTGTGTGTGAGAGAGAGATTGAGAGAGAGAGAGAGAGAGAGAGAGAGAGAGAGAGAGAGAGAGAGAGAGAGAGAGAGAGAGAGAGAGAGAGAGAGAGAGAGTGAGAGTGAGAATCTTCCTTTCCCTTCCCTTTCCATTCTTTTCTCTTCCCTTCCTACCTCCCTTTTCCATCCCTTTGTCTCTCTCCCTCCCTCCCTTTCCCTCCCTAACTCTCACCCTCTCATCCCTTCCCTCCCAAACGCCCCTCCCTCTCCTCGCTTTGCTCACGAAATAGCCATTGCGGGCGTCCTCACCCACGGGCGGGCGTGTCGGGGCGGTATCATTCGTCATGACACCGTGGCCGCCCGCCCGCCTCCCGCCCACACGCCCACCACCACTATCATTATACCCTTATTAGCGCCCTACGCTTGCATGGCCCCGAGCTGCTGTCC